GAAAAATTGTCCGTCACACTTGTCATCCAAAAAGATACTTAAATTTTCAGGAATAATGATTTTCTACTTCTGTCTCATTTCTGAGTGTCGTTCTACACTGTAACTACGTTCTCTCCAGTTTCCAACAAAATCTCGTAGATCAGCAATTTAGGTGGTATTGTACATCATCAGCATTGGTGATCTCCGTTAAACTAATGAGGGCCTGCTCGAGTTAAACGGGAATGGTTTGGCCAACAGCAAACGTCGAAGTCACACCTCGTAGTCAGCACCTAAAGTGAATTACCCCTTTGTCGTATCAAGGAACTATGGATGCTTTGAAGACCTTTAAGCACAAAGGAAGTTATTATAGAAATAGATTAGTTAAATTAGACACAAGTGAAAGTGTGACCACCACCGCATGGTGTAGTCCATGGCGTGTTGGTTGTTATTGAGCTTGCCGGAGATCGAAGAATTATTCGATATTCTGTGACCCGACTGCTGGATGACTTGGCCACGGCTCAGTGTCATTTCAATGACCCTACAATATTCTCCCTCCAGATTGAATGGCCGTTTGAATCTGTACAAAACATGTTGAGAGTATTCGCGGTAGATTTTGCTAAACAATTATTATGAAGACTCCGGATATTGCTGTAAGGCAAATGGAAAGGGGGAGGCAGAAACTGATCGGGAAACAGCGAGTGATAATAAATTACTAAGATGTTGGCTGAATGTAAAGCGAATAATCATGGAGATAGTAGAAAAAAAACGTGACGTTTTAATGTTCTATCAAGTCGCGTTGAAATAGATAGCTTTAACAAGTAATTGAGTTTCTCAGATGAAAAATGTTAAGTTTGCCACAAGAGTAATGTACTACAACGATATTACGACGAGTTTATTATCAATCGACGCCGATGTTTGTACTGCCATTGGTTTAATGTATAAAATCAGACGGTTCTATTCGTAAGTATGGAATTCTAGTTATATCTGTATTTAACAGACCAACTGTAAGTACAGAAACATAGCCGTGAAGAGAAGTCTTGATTTCGTTGTGCGAAGCTATTGATCAACTTGGAGTCAGAGTTTGAATAGCCGGTAACTGTTGTTACAATCAGAAAGGGTTGAAGACTACAGATCGAGAACGAAAGTGGCATGTTGAAGTCTCTGAAAGATGATAAACGATGAGTGTTTTATGCTTGTTCTATATGTGAGCCGAAAAATATTGAAAAGAACATAATAAATAGGGGGGGGGATCACTCTGGACGTATATCAGTGACACCGGTAAAAAACGCAGTCAGTGTTCGAATGAGGCGGTAATGTTGTCTTCAGTTTGCAGGAGATTCTCCGAACTGCGTTAACTGGTGATTCGCGCTAATGATAGTGTCATCAAACCACCAAATGAACTGGACAAGTTTTAAATTATCGAGTTGTTGAACAGCCGATTGATGTACCAAAATCATCTGCCAGATAACAGCCACGTGGAAATAATAATTTGTTGTGAATTTATGCCCGGATTTTTATCACGTGATATACACACCAACCGAAATACGACTTTTCTTATTTTTGCACTGTGCCAAAACAATGAGCCATACACAAATTAGTCACTAACGGGAATGGTAAAGACGTGTTTATTTCCACTTTCAAGGTGGAGTATACGAATTCAGACGAGAAATATGTGGTATCACCAAGTTATGCTGTCTTGTTTGCTAATGCAACATTAAATGAGACAGATGGCTATGTTGCGAAAAGTAATTGAAAAATAGATCAACATTGTAATTACCAACGATGGTCTAGAAGACTGGCTTTTAAATTTTACAATAACCATTCATTTTTTCTCTATTAAGGCATGGTGAATACATGCTCATGGAGCAGAAATAGATTTGAATTCCATATCCTTTAATTCTGTGTGGATATGTGAGAAAATCACCCCACATAGACTCGCAGATAGCGCTAAGAAAATATGCTCTGATGACGCCACGAATGAAGAGTTACATTTGATACATAATAATCCAATAGAAACAGGTGGTCCGCAGGGTTTTTTTTATGAAAATATCTGAATGAAATGAATAGGAAAGTAGTAGCATCAACAGATAGTAAAGAAACCATTCTTGTTGAATCTATAGTACAATAAGGTTATAGCTAATGATGTATTACGCGGTAAGTTAACTAACTCAGAACTGTGGAGAAGTGGCTCACGATTAGTCGCAAAAGGTCAGAAATGCAAATTTCCCACACACTGGGATGTAACAAAATATACTTATTATCGATACAGAGAACTTTTCATGTCACTATCCTCAGTCTGTCTTTTTCTAGCCTACCTATGGTCGTTTCCCAGTTGAATGATGTTAATTCGTTCTGGCACATTTACATATATCTACAAAATCGGACGTTTTTTGGTGGAAACCATATATAATGTACAACCAGACAACTAAGCAAACGAGTTACAGAACCACTCCATCAGTAATCTGGAAATGGTGTGGCCCAAACAATACGCAGTTCCGTTCTATCACACTTGGTCGATGGCGATCATATAGTAGCTAAACCAAGGCATTTTTAGTTGGTTCCCTTAAATCTCTCTATCTCTGCAAGCAATAGTGAGTGATGTTTTGTTCCTAGTTCAATTTTCGCCATTTTATGGCTTCATTGCGGTTTTTGGTATTTCAATATGTGAAGTCTTTCCTCATTATGCAAAAGTCATTCTGTTGATTTTTACTAGACACCTTGTACTCCTTTACGTTTTTGAAAATAGGAATTTTAACCGTTATCACAGGTTATAGTTGATCGTAATTTGTAACCGGGATCATTACTGTGGATGGCCGAAATTCTGGTTCCGTTTATAATAGAGCTTTTTGTTGGCTTTTTATTAGACCAAACTCTGCTCCCGTGGTAAATATTTATTGTTGGTTATAAAAGCGCAAAAAACATAGTCGGTACCAGTCGCGTTCTCGTCATGAAAAGTAATGAAAAATATATATACTACTCAATAGCTAGCACTTAAATCTTGTTTTGTGTCTTCCGTTAAAAAGGATCAATATGACATATTTTACTTCAAGACGAGTGAACGTGGGATAGTAATTTTTGCCAACGTTCTTAAATTTATCATAAGTGTGACAGAAGAGATTCACATAGAGTCATTATCTACGTCTGATTTGTAGGTAATCTTAACTTTATATTGTTGCATTTCTGTGCACTACAAAAATCAAGCTTTTGGTTATGTGCGTGACGTATCAGTCGAGATTGGACGTCACTCACAAGATTGCTTGTAAGTATTATGTTGCGGAATGTGGCCTTGAAGTTTTCGGACGGAGCGAAAAGCTCCAGAGCAGTGAACTTACAGCAATGGTGGAATACTTGGGGACAACATGAGAAAACTGTTCGGATTTCAGAACAAACCAAAAGATGCAACTGGATCATGAGGGCTATGCGTATGTATTATGTAAATGCATTGTAACTTCTCACAATAATTATATCTTTTTTCTGCTTATTACTTTCCTTTACAAACCTACCCGAGAGGAGAAAAGCAAGAGTTTGGCAAATAAACAATGCATTGAAAGTATTTGCGATCATTAAACTTGTCTGAGTACCAAGATAGTTACGTAGGAGCTCTTTTGGCTGAATGATCCTAAGGGATCCGACAACTGTTGTTACCTAATGGTTATGATATGTCAAAGGGAGTGACCGGCACACACAACCATCCATAATAATTGATTGTTGAGGTTGTTCAAATAAAAGTTATTTTTCTTTGCCGCGAACAACAACAATCCAAGTCGCTATTATTAGTAACACGGAACACAGGTTAAGCCGTACGTAGGATTGAAGCTAGAAGAGGAAAGCTTTGGGCTTCAATCAACCGTCGGAGTGATATAATCTGTGTGTAAAGATAATAATGCTTACAGTATAAAAGCAATATTGGTAAAACACTAGGTTTTCAACTTCATATTTTCAATGAAATCATGCAAAGTGAAATAGACATGGAAGACTGATTCAAACTTAAAGATATAACATGATTTCTCTTATTTTACCCGAAAGCGGTTGATTAAGGAGGAAGGACGCATTTTCGTGCGGCTAATTTCAATATAGCGTTACTTTCCTAAACATGTAGAGTTTTATGCTCAAATTCTCATTTCTGCATAAGCACCTCTGTCATAATAATTTGAAGGTATGAATTAGTTATATTTTTTGTCCATTCTCGGTTCAAACACCTGACATAGTTTTTCAAACCTTTGAGTTAACAATAAATATTATTTATAATAATGTTGTCGTATCGTTAATAGCATGTTAGCTTTTCAAAATGTTAGAAGCAATATTTAGAGGATAGTATGATGGTTTTAGGATTTTAGTTTGTTTCATTTTGTTTTCATGCTCCCAAAGTACTTTTTGCTGTGTTTGGATCTTAAATTGAGAAAGTTTTGAGACCTTTAGATCAAAAGTATTAGTCAATAGTCGTCTTCACACGCACTTGGCAGGTCTTTCTTCGCAACCTCGTCTCTGTCTTTGGCATCTTTGATCTTGTGGTTGGTCACACACCAACTGGCTTAAAAGACAATGATAAACAGTATTTGTTCCCAGCTAATAAAATTTTCTGAACGGCTGAAGCTGTAGCAAGATTTTTTAAAACTCGTCTACACAACGTTTTAGACGTTCATTACAGACCTAGTTGTTTTCATCGTTCGTTATCTAATGAAAATGTAGTTCGATAAAGGGAAGTGGTTTCTTTCATAATTCAATGCATGATGAACTTATGAGTTAAGTATGAGTTTACCACAAAAATACCGTTTAAGCATTACATTGTCTAATCAGGAAAATAAGAACAATCACACAGAATTGCACACACTTCAATCGTTCACTAAATAAAATGTAGTCATGCCCACTAGATGTTATTTCGGTAATCACGTCTAATGGTTAAACATAGTAGTTCAAAATTAGCCTCCAAAATCGGACACTTAAGTATCCGCCTCATTTTGTTATATATTCAATCATATTTTTCTTGCCTTTTAGAGTGGGTCATCTGACTTTTTCTGGTTATGTGTGACCCAGACAATCCAAGTGACAATTCCCTTGTAAATACTGGATGTCTAAATAACACTCCGGTTGGTAATACTACTCTGAATTATATTATGGAGTCGATCATTCGGCAACGACAGCTTTGTACTGGTTAGTTGGTTACTCCCCGTTTTACTGACAAAGTTTTGTTTAGTATTGTTTTAAAAATAAACTTTGATCCTTTAAAGTACTAAAATACGAACGGCAGTCTAATATTAAAATATGTAGAAGTAAAGAAATAATATCAAGTAGTGGAATTTTCTAGGACAATCAATAAATTTAAAGAAAGAATTTTGTCATGTTTTAGTTTATAATTCTCAGGATGAAATCTTTCTAATAAGTATCGGCTGAAAGTTCGTACCACTAAGTTTCATGAATACGCAATTCCTCATTAACAAATCTTCAAATGCTATAACGTGCTTATTTAGCACGTTAATTGTCCTAGCATTCTGTCTTTAAGCAGCTACATTTGCCGGCTCAATTTAGTTATAACAGTAAATATGAAAGGTTTTATGATGGGATGGACAAAACATTTTCAGCCTACTAATTATGGCACCAATCAACACTAGGGTCCAGTAATTGGATAATGTTCTACGTTACATTTGTAGGGTTCACCTCATAATCAGGTAACATATTTTTAATCTTAAACGTGAGAAAAACAATCACAGGCAGAAGAATACAGGAACTGCTCAATCCTTACAAAAACAGGTTATTTTTCGTGTTAAATCATTATTACTGTTAAACACTACCAATGAATATAATAAGTGGTTTTACAGATGCTTCAATCGGATATACGTCCCATTTGAAATTCCTAAATATCGAATGCAAATTGTTAGCAAAAATGTATAATGTTGCACACTGGCGGCTTTTAGTTGTCATAGTGTTTATATACTACTTCAGATTACTATAACAATTTTTTCAACCAACCAGATCCTGATTGAAGACAATTGTCCTTCGACTAAATAGGGGTATATCACAAATGGAATGATATTTGCAAACATTGACCAGTTGATTCTGGTCTATTGAAGCAACTGTGTTCTAGTTGAAATGGTTAAGGTTCTTGACTCGACTTCTTAGGTAAACTGTCACTTTTGAATTATCCTAAATGCAAATAAAATGGCCACTTAACGATCCTGAATTACCATTGGTTCTTGGAGCGATATCAGTTTGATATAGGTGCCTTTAGTCTACAGCAGTTTGTGAAATCATCAATATTTTAATATGATTCTTATTAAAGGATAGCCCAAATCACATTTTATCGATCGCTTGTATGTATGAGATTGATGAAATCTGTTTCTATGCTATCTATGAAAATTGTCAGTTTTTTTAATTCAAGATATGATTTATTGCAGTAATATGTTTCAATACTTCCTTTAACTTATCGACTTTCTATATTTTCAGAAAACATTCCAAAAAAGAGTTTTGATGTTACCTTCATCAACTCTCATAACGATTTCTGGTTTAATTTGTTTACTCAAGCATTTCTTTCACCGGCTTTGGAGAATTCAGTCGACGGACCAGGAGATGACCTTCTGTTTTTTGTCCATCTCCTTAAACAAAAGGATAGAAAAGTAATTTAAATGTTATTGTTTTACTCATTGATTGCCTTTCATATCAACACCATGCACTATATGTATGAGGATACCTTTACTTCTTTTCACGTTTGATTATCCTACACTTGGATAAGTAGTTTTTTAGGTGTTTATTTGCCACTTAGCTTTGCGTTCTAAATTTTTTTCCTCATGATGAGACAGTATCTTACAGTTTTATATTGTACGTAGTGTCATTTCAAATTTATGGCCACCTAGTTGGAGGATAAGTACTTAACCCCTTTGAATATCATCTACCTTATGGGACTTTAAAGTACCAGCGAATCTCCTTTCAATCACTCCATGTTTTTATACATATTATGTAAGCAGATTTCATTTTATACTGTTGTCATTCAATGTGACCTTTTTAGTTATATAAAAATATATCCGGATATACTTAAGTAGTATTATTGAACAAAATTACCCTTAGTAATTATGGTACTCATTTACAAAGTACGCGTTTGTGTACTCGGGAGTTTAAGCTAAATTGTTTTGGTGAAGGTTATTGATACTACCAAATTGTCTAAATCGAATTAAGTATAGCAGTCTTTAAGCCTATCATCTACTTTTTAAAATCGAGTGCTTTAGTTCATAGTTCATCGCTCCGCTTAGTAATAATATGACTTTTTTGTTGTCTACTTAGCCTTATAATGAAGCTACAAAAGTAAATCATTTTTCTTTTTTATCAAACAGGGACTTAGAGTACTGTATTAATCCACTTAGTACCCTTTATTTTACTTCCCTAATCAAGTCATACATTAGTCAGGAAAAGCACAGCTTATTCATGTTACAATATTAGTTTTCGACTTGAGTATTACATAATATAGATCAATACATTCAATGGTTTAATATTAATCTCCTTTATGTTGTTATACTCTGTTTAAGTAAATATGATTTAACTGGTGAATATGTAATCAATTATTGTCAATTCTATTAATGATGAAGAAGTGTCTTACTCCTTAACCGTCTTTATGTTTACATTCTTAATATTTTTATAAATAAGATTTCTCGACAAATAATGTACTTTAATCTTGTTTTTAGTATAATGTAGCACAGTTTTAATGTAAAACCTATTTCGGTGATAAATTGTTTTTTCATAGTAGTAAATTTTTTATGATTTTGTTTTCAACATAAGTAGCTAAGTCATTAGTTAAAAGTTTTCGCCACATGTTAAGGGTTTGAGTTGATATACAAGTCTTTAAGTAGTTATTTAGTTGTTTTGTACAGGTCATTGAAGTATATTAATGAAGCTGTACTTTGCAACTTTCGAATTAAACAATTCATTATTTAGGCTTAGTGTATTTTGTACACGATTCAGTAGAAACACTTCAGTTTTGGCTTTCTGTTTATTCTTATTAATGACCAAGTGGTACATACCAGCATTTGTGAAATCTTTGATATAAAACACATAAAAAATGTTATGATTTAGAATTTAATTTTGTTAAACTCAATATTGAGATATTATCTTTGTCATTCTACTTGCGTTTTAATGGTAGAAATATTCAACAGTAAGTAGTACACTTCACTGTCCTGTCAATCACACAAATAATAAAACAGTGGAATTTATGAACTGACCGTATTTAACCACCTGTTGTTTGGAGACATAATGTATATCTCAAACATCATTGTGAATTTGATAGGGTTTCGTTATCTGAGGGAAGGTGTTTCACGAACTAATTGTTTTAATGTCTTGTAAATGTATCCAAATCATAGTCTTATCTCTTCACATTTAATTTTAACCAGCGATAAAACTGACAAGCGTAGCATTATGAATAAAATTCAACCACTAAAAAAGCAGTTTAAATCTAAGTTATATATATGTATATATATATATAACATTATAAGTGTTACCAACTATTTGAGGTGTATCTTGAAGAGAATAATGTGCTACTTGCTCTCGAACTGATTCCAATATTTCAGTCAACTACAGGGCGGTTCGATAGTAAGAAGAATTCGACAAAAAAGTAATCTAGGTTTGGATGTCTTCGGTAAACCATTAAGATGTAGGATGCAATGTAGGAGAACAAAGAAGATCAAAAATTTCAAAATTTCTGGGGAATGAAGGGATGCAGTGAACTAGGATTTCATTTATCTTATCACTCCAATATATCTAGATCGTTATAATCAAAAAAACTCAGTCGGATTGAAAAAACCTTGTCAAATTGTTTTTTGCAAACATACGATTCTCTGTGGCTTTCTTCTTACTATTCGACAGTAAATATCCTGAAAAATTCGCAACTTTAATTTCTTTTTGGTTTTAAGAAGTTACCGAACCTCTTTTCGTCATGAATGGTTATCGTTATTGCTACTTTTTTTTCAAATTGTTTGAGTTTACTTTTCGAAAAATTATGCAACAACAAATGAACAATTGTAATTTTTTTTTTTAGCCAGAATTGAGTGTATTTCGTAGAAACAGTTCAAACCTTCCAAAATTGACAGATGATTATGTCGATTGGGAGGAAACAGTGTATCTCAACTTACTCATGCAATATGTAAGTATCATTTTTTTTTCATTTAAAAAAAATGATTTTTAAACTAAAATTTTGTTGTAGATCTTGTTGTTCTGTGAACTTATTGGGTTGATGAAAAAATGCACATCTATTTTTAGAATAGTAGTTTAATGACCTTAACATAAATTAAAATTTACCTAACACTCGTGTATAGTTAGATGTTAGTTATATTCTGTTACAGGATCACTTATTAATTATTTAATTGAAATGATTTTATTTCCTGTTCCGTGTGGGTTTTGAAATGAAATGATAGTTATATAGTCATTTCCAGTGAAAAAGCGAATCATCCTTTTTTTTTATAACAAGATCTATTTTTTCCTCATCTTCGCCGTAAATAACATGATCGTGATTTGAGCCTGTTTAATGAGTTTTCAAATACGAATAATATTCCATAGTTGTTCATTAAATTGCATGAGATTTTATGGTGTCTTTCCTAAATATATAATATCTACCATTTTCATTCGAATTCCTCATTAAAGGTTAGTACATGTTTATTCTAGGTTCTATGTTCAATCAGTCAGTCACAAGGTAGAACTTCGTACGTATGTACATCAGTTTGACTTGCCATACCACATTAGCACAGAGATGCAGCTGTCGATTCAAATTCCATAGTGGTAGAAGTAGTAAGAGTATAAGCATTATGTGAAAGATTAGGGTTTGAAGATGTTATTGAAGGAGTATAATCCAGGGAAATAAATTTGAAAAGAGAAAAAAGATAAAGACATGAATTCAGAAGATTAGAATTTGGTAGAACACAAAGAGTGGATGCACCTTCGCCATTACAAACGATTTTGAGCCATGTCATTCAAGGTCTCTAACCATCGATTGCTATCATCTTGCGAATCCCAACCAGGTAGTTTGCACCTACCAACATGGCTCAGTCCAATTGTCAATGACTTCATGGATTTGTGCCACGTTTTGGTCTGGCCACCCCTAACTTTCTTCCAACCTACTCCTACACCATGAAACATTGCACGTCGGGGCAGTCGGTGGTTGGGCACACGTAACACGTCTCCCAGCCATGAAGTTTCACTACTTCATCAATCGATTTGCCATCCTTACCTAGTACCCGTTTCCTAACATCTGCATTACTCACACGGTGGTCCCAGGATATACGAGCAATGCTTCGAAGACACCTATGATCGAATACTAGTAGCCTACGAATGTCCTCTACTCTTATCGGCCATGTTCCACTGCCATAAAGTAGGACGGAACGAACTGCTGCACAGTAAACCCGTCCTTTGGTTGCTAGACGGATATCTCACCTACGCCATAAATGACGCAAGTTGGCAAAAGCTAGACGAGCCTTCTGTATCCGTGCTGAGATTTCGTCACACACCAGACCACAAGGGCTGATGAAACTCCCAAGATAAGTGAAGCGGTCAGCACGCTCAACTACTTCACTCCCTATCATTAGTTCAGGTGTCGATGCAACCCAATCCTGAAGTGACATTTTGCACTTCGAGGGAGAGAATCGCATCCCGAACATGCCTGCATTATTGCTTATGGTAATCAGAAGACTGCGTTTTGTCAACGTCTTCATCAAATAGAACTATGTCATCGGCAGGTTCTGTGTTAACTATTCTCTAACCGTATACGTGGGTAACAGTTTCTTTTTATTTTAATTTTTATTCTGGAATATTTTGAGCTGATTAGATAATCTAAATAATAACTCAAACCTGGTACATAGTCTTTAAAATATCTTCAGTAACTGGTGTAGTGAGTTACTAAAAACAATAAGCTACAATCCACCTCAATATGCTGTACTGTGTGATGTGAGTGAGTATAAAAGGCGCATCAGAGCGGTTATAATTTGATACAAGAATACTCTATAAGGCCTTCGAGCCATGTGGGCTTCCTGAATTATATCGTAGGTTAATTGATAAACCTACTAATTTTTGTCTTATGCTAAGTCTTGTTCTAAATCTGAACACATTTCCTACCATTTTGGTTGTTTTCTTAGTACTACCATTACCTTTCCTATCTATATTTCTAAAAAGTAATAATCTTTTCCTTTTTCTTCTGTTGTTTATGAGATATAGTCAGTGCGATCATAATGATCTCCAATGTTTTCATTCTTTGTATTCAGTCAGTCAGCCAAAATAATACGGAACCTAACACTAATATTCATCAACCTGAGATGAAAGTTAGAAGTTACGCAACAAAAAAGTTGAAGTAATGTTAGTGTCTATGATGGTAAAAAAGACTGGACATAGAAATTATGGTTTGAAATAAAGAATGAGTTCACTAAGTAAATAGCACGGGGATTACTCTAAATCCATGTTGTTGACATAAAAAGAAAAAAAAGAAAACACCCATTCTACTGCAATCAGTTTTAGACCGTATCATTTAACGTCCCATGATTTACTATAACATCAACTGACGCAGATAAGTGCAAATAAGTAAATTTTTAATAAAATGGACTAGACGAGTCCTGACAGGTCACATTTTGTCTCAGGACCACACGGTGAATGACAGGTGCAAATTTAGGAGTTCTGTTGTTAGTAAGAGAATTATTAACTAAACGAAAATCTTCGCCTACATATCCCTATTTGTATCAGCCTGAAATTTATGTATACTCATGAATTATGTACATTGCTATTCAACCTTTAATAATCCAGTTTCTTATGTTCCCATAGTCTTCTAACTATGTAAACATTGTAACTAAATTGGGTCTACGAATTAGTAGTCAAGATTATTATTATTTTGAAATTTGAATCCTAAGAATACTATCATAAATCATTTATATATAATTTTCCTGTTATTCATTCTTATTCCCAGAAATGAAATGATCAATTTATGTTCGCCTATTTAACTCTACACGACTGCCTTTATATTTATTACCTATATTATTTTTATGTATGACTAGTTTCGACTAACTGTAAAGTTTATTATTCCTTTTTTACTGTTTTTTAATCACCAAACTCGTTAAAGCATCAAAATGAAACAAGGAATGATAAACTTACACTCTGTTAGTATTCATCAAAATTTGCTTATCATACAACGTCAATGATTATATGTTAGTTAAAAAGAAATGATAGGATCATAAATCAAATGCTCCTAACTATTCATTACAACATTATCAAGTGAATGATTAAAATCATTATAAGTTTTCTTTCAAGACCATTGTTGTTAACTTGTGAAGGGATATAGTAATATTGACAGTAATATTAACAGATTAGAAAAATATTTCAGTACCATAACGGTTTCATACTGAAGGTTTTTCGATTTAAGGTAGCTCATTCAAGAAATTAATAATAGTCGGTTAATGAAACCAATTTATTTGCTTCATTATTCTTTATCAGTTCAATTTCAATACTTATAATGTTTTTTCTTGGGTTGCTTTCATGTAATTTTTCTCTACTGTTTAGTTTGTTTATGTTGTGACAGTTGCTGTATGTACTCGTACTGGACCTCAAGAGTGGCAAATTTTGAAGAAATTTTCTCAAGTAAGTTCTCCGTTTTTATCCTTGTTACCGTTATTGTCATTACTGACCTGATATGGATTTTTGTTGTTTATTCCTGGGTTTAATGGATAATAGTGGAATTTATAAATCTCTGTTTCTCATCAAAAAACACACAGAAATACACAACATTGTGAAACTGGGATTGTAACCTAGAATCCGACAGTTAAATCCTTTAACCAACAATCCCTCACACTAGACACTGATCATCAGTGTTTGAAACAATCCACTTCTCTGATAAATTTGGATAGTGTAGTAAGAAGACGAAGATTGTCAGAACTATACGATATATTAGCGCAATACATTTCGAATAATCTGACCACATATATACTTGTTAAGAACACTGAGTATATGAAAATTAAAAGGTCAACTAGACAAATGAGAGGTAAGAGGAAACAAAAATGATGGGGAAAAATTTCGAAAACAATTGAAAACTCACCACGCTGGATGATAGAAAATTATCAGGGTAGGTTTAGAGTGAGAACACACTGATTTTAAACACATAAAAGTAGTTTCCATTTTATCAACAAGTATATGTGATCAGATTGTTCGTAATGTATTGAGCTAATATATAGTATAGTTCTGATAATCTTCTTCTTCTTCTTATCATTAAGTGGATTATAAGAAAATTATAAGATTGAATAAAAATCTTTGTTCTGCAGATCAGAAAAAAATCTCAAATTCAATTCTTTCATAAACAGAAAAAAGACCGGTCAGTTAAAGTTTGTTAGTATTAATAAGAACAGATTCGTTTAAGTAAGCATCAACATATTTTAAAGCCTGTGTTGATCAGTGAAATAAAGATTCTTCTACTTTCTCAATTCTGCTCTATTCTTCTGTATAATATGAATAATTCCATTGGATAGTTTATTCAGTTGTTGGACGAATCAATATGAATCACTCAATTATTAGCCCATTGTAACCTTAAATTGTGTAGAAATGTAGAAAAAACGTGTTATTTGTCTATTCATTAATGATGTTTCATAATCATGGACTACATATTACCTTCATATAGTTTTTAGGTAACTGACCAGTATTCATAAATCTCATACTAAAAATGGTGTATTAAAGCTCTATTCACAGACTAGTACTTGATTTACTGAGTCACATAGAAAATAAGAAAAACCTACATTTTCATAGTTCTTGTAAATAACTTTTCTGTAAGTTATACTTGACTTGTATTGAATCGAATTGAATCGGCATTTTTTTCTTTCTCTTGAAATAAACTTTTTTTCAATCTTTGTAGTCGATTGATTTTGTATACAGACATCAATAATAAATGATAATAACTTGATTGTGTAATTTCATTTAACTATTGATTAAACATTTTACTGATCTAAGAGCTCTGATTTCATACGTTTTACTTCTTAATAGATGGTAGATGAACGTGGTATTAAGAAATGATCAATGTATGATTAACGGAAACCAATGGATAATTGAACTTTGTTAATTAATTATATAACTTTTAAATTACGAGTTAAAACTTTATTGTCTCTACTTAGACTTAAGTGTTATTTAATAATAAGCGTAGTTTAAAACCTCTATTATGTTAATTTATTATTTAAGCTTTCAAGTTATCAACAATAGTCATCAACTTTTGATTTTATTGATATGTGTTACAGAGCAACATCAAAAAATCACTTATTAGTTTCTGTTATTTACTTGGAAGGCCCCCAAATGCCCTGGTACGGCCGAGAGTGAGGAGAGTCCGCTCTCCTTCTCGAAATGCTCTCACATGGGAGTTGGAAAACCCTGATTCCAAACCAATGGTACACATGGGCTGGCTCCAGTATCCTGAGTGAACTAATGGCGTATGAATCAATCGTTGGTGGCCGGTTACCATGGGACTGCATCTCCTCACGATGCTCCACTACCTTGTGGATCAGACCTTTAGGTCAAAAGCTCAGGGTGTGGCCCCCTAAGAAAACCACCTGCTTCAGTTTGGGCACCTGGGCAGTATCACAGCCCTCACACAAATCGAATGAGATTTGTAGGGCGCATATTTATCTGGTGCTTCCTTGTACCAATATTTATGTGTCTAAATAAATAAATTTACTTGGAAATATCTCTCTTTTAATGTTTATTTTAATAACTCATAAACATGATATTTTTCTTTGAGACTTAATCTGATCACTTACTTACTTACGCCTGTTACCCCTCGTGGAGGAGCATAGATCGCCCACCAGCATTAATCTAATCAATTTATACTTTTAATATGCTATACAATTTAAAAAAAATAAAATCACTCGTTTTATATAATAGTTTCCCAAACAATGTTTGCTTTATTTGTAGACAATTACAAGTTCTACTTCGAAGTTCCGTGCTCTTTTTGTTTATGAACTCAAATGGTCTTTAAAAAGTTATTATTCATTTATTCATTCTCCGATCGTTGCACTAATTGTCTATATATAGATGATTTCACTTATGACACTAATAACTCATTAGAACTTGACAGTTTCATAATGAAAACTATCTAAATTATTGGTATACTTCATTTATTTATTTACCTTTTTTAAGAGAAAATATTGCAAGTTCATGTTTAGAAATAAACAATTCTATGTTCTGTACATTGTTTTTAGACTGTTTATGCATCTCCTAGTCATAGACAAATGAATATGAAAGGAAGTTATGAAGAAATAGTTTACCCAGATCTCTATTTTACGATTGATAATTATGAAGAGGTAAGATAGTTCAATTTGGTTTGTTAGTACTTAGTTTTTCTCCTACTTTTGCTTACTCCATATCAACAGTTTAAAAGAAAGTATTATCATCTGATTTAATTAGTTAAGAATGTTTTTTTATGCAGTTTTATTGTATTCAAGGTAAACTGAAAACTGTAATATTCAGATAAACAATACAGGCCTATCACAGTAAGATATTTGTTAAGAATTTAATCTAAAGCATTATTATGGTACAATCCAAGCACTTCATTATCATTTCATTAAGTTTTGAGTTTGAACTTTGTTATTTTTATCATGGCTAGTAAATATGTAAACCATCATCAAACTTTACTGTTCAATCTGCCCTCATAATCCTTAGTCCACTCATTGTCAGACATAATGTAAAAAGTTGTTATGCTTTCTTCCTGTTAATTTTTCAATCATCACTTTTTGCTCGGTTGACCTGTTATGTTTGAAGAGATTGCGATTCACGGCGAACAGAACGACGGTCTGCAACACAACTACGGGGCAAGCTAAACTACTCCGATGCAACCCAGCCCTACTAACTAGACGAAAAAGAACAAATTCAGCCGAGGGAGAAGTATATTCCATCAGCAACCTGAAGCACGAACGAACCAAGCACACAATTCAAGCGTATATATATATATATATATATATATATATATATATATATATAAGTATTTATAAAGAGTTGTCTAAGCAAGATACTGAATGTCCGTTGGTTTGATGCCATCAGCAACAACCTTCTGTGGGAGAGAACAAGTCAGGTTCCAGCTGAGGAGGAAATTAGGGAAATTCGTCGGAAGTGGATAAGATATACATTACGGAGATCATCAAACTATATCACGAAGTAAGCATTAATTCGGAATCCTGAAGGGAAACGAAAAAGCGGAAGAGCAAAGAACAGATAGCTCAGGAATTACAGGCAGACATCACAAGGATGAATAGCAACCGGAAAGGACTGCCCATGATAGAGTTGGATGGAGAATGGTGGTGGTTGGCCTATGCTCCTCCACGAGGGGTAACAGGCGTAAGAGTAAGTACGATATAAATCATAGGAATGATTGGATAATTTTCAATCTACTTATGATTAGTGAGTAGCATACTATGGTACCAAAAATAAAAGAAGGGAAAAATTTGAGTTGTAGAAATAACGGTACTTGTATTAAGTTTCATATTTTGCTTTGAAGACCTGAGTGACGGTAGCCAAGTTCTTTGCTTGTCGTCCAGAGTCCTAAATATTAAGGCAGTCGACTAGTATTTATGCACTATAGTTTTCGTTCGTTTCATTAGCTATTTTTCCATTCAGTGGATAGAAAAATTTCCAATCCAGTAACAGTAACCTTTTAAATAAAGTTCTACATGTGTGTGACTAATACATGAAGTTCTAACTTCAGAAAAAGTAAAACTATTAATTTGTGTTAGTGTTCATTCGTAAAGCTTGAATGGTAACAGATGGACGATTAAGCTAAGCAAGCAACTGTGTATTGTGTAAGATTATTAGTTTATGCAAGTGAATGTCGCTTTACAATCTGAAAATAAACTAAAATGATGACACTAGAGAATTTGGGAAATAAAAAATTCTGAACGTTGTAAAATTTTGGTTTTTACGGAAATTCTAATCAGAACCACTTGAAATAGGTTTTAAAAATTTCATTTCTGAAACGCATCTCTGACCGTAAAACATTAATCTGCAAGTAACTATGAGTTTTCTATTAAACTTTCTGTATTAGCAGGAATTAGGCTCATTAGTGTTTGTTAATTTTCTTAATTACTGCTGGCTTAAATAATAAATCGTAGTTATGGGTAAATTAGTGAATAGTAAAGAGAAGTATAGAGAACGTTTTAAACAATAAAATCAGTATACCCACTTTTCTTATTTGATTGATTTCGAAAATTACTCATGTAGAGTGTGAAAATCGCAGAAAGTTACATTTGTAATGTTATTTTACGCGTTTGAAGTTCGGTACGGTAACTGCTAATTGTGAAACCATTGAATTTGCTCTAATCCCATAACGGATCTGATAGAACGGCGACTCGCACACAACAACACTTCAACGTTAATAGTTCACACGTTAAGATTGTTATAAACGTAGAGGATGTTGGTTATAACAGTCCTTTTACTTCTTACACGTATGTGGGACGTTAATTTACCTTAAACGAATATCTACACTAGATTCCCACCCAGTGTCTATTCTACAGGACTTCAACACACAACTCAGATCAAGAACACGAGGTTAGCCTGACTATAACGTCAATATATTTCCACACCAAATCCGACACAAAGAACAGTCAATCAATAAGTGTCCATCAACAAGGAACAGTCAATACACAATAAGGAAACAGTTCATAGATAATAAGGATAGGGGAATATATATAACACATAACACCTGTCAACCTATCTAATGTCTGACTCATCAAGACAACCAATCACTGTCATTCTCGCCCACACATCAAATATAAAGTAAAGAAAACGGGAATTTTAGGATAGCTGTGTATTTTGAACAAAAGTGAGTAAATGAAATGGAGCAACTCTGTTTATAAAGTAATACCCAATGACCATGGGACATAACAAAACTAGCAAACTGAAAATAGCAACAGATAACAGCAAAGGTCATTGCAGAAATATGAATTAGAAAAATGTCATCGATGTTACCCTTTAAAGGATCAACTAACATGTAATTACAAAAAACTAGATACCTCAAGTTGTCCTTAGCGTGTAATAATTCTTGGAGATATGTAATGTGATATCAACATTTCAATCACCTTAACTATACATGATAAATATATTTCAAGCGATTTCACTAATCTACAGTATTATACTTCTCTCAAAGTCTTCAATCATTTCTCTTTTATTTTTTACATGGCATACGTAGAACGACATATTTCTCATTGGTACCGTGCTTTCATTTATTCATCTTTCAAATTAGTAAATGAAACACTAATAGTGATATTTTAATAAAACTTCAACTTAAAATATTTAGGCATTTGGTGAATGTGTTCTGCGAGATAGTGAATGCATTAATGTTGAATTAACTGCTTATGATCGTCATGGACGTGTACATGGTGTTTGCTTTCTTGGCACTGTTTCCTATGATACCATTAAACAATTTTATGACCGTTCATCCGTAAGTCAAATAGCCTTTCATTGCACCTGTACATATCAATAGAAAAAGGTTCTTGTTTTTCGAATTCTTATTAGTCAAGTTACTCACCAATGAACAAGATTATATCGTTGTACTATTTCGCTAAATAATCTAAGTTGTTGACCACTTGATAGCCTACAGGTTTAGGGCTGGTCACGAGGCCTAAAGGCACTGGGTTTGTGAATGTATGTGTTGGGAAGTCCCATACGAGAACTAGATAGCTGTCCAGTATTTCCTGGTTTTATTAAGATTAGTTGATTATATTGATTATAGAATTCTTTTTTTCTTAACATGATTTATATCAATGTGCTTAGTGGATTTCACATACACATATTTTATTACTTCATAAATTAGGTTAAACTAAAGGAATCCATTTACAAATCGTTATTACTTACTTACTTTCGCCTGTTACTCCCAATGGAGCATAGGCCGCCGTCGTTATAAGTAATCAGATATTGGCTGATAACCAACTTAAATAGAAATCAATCAATTAAAACACAATTGTGTTCAATCTTGTTAGTACAAACACTAATTGTTTAAGTAGACAAATACAAGGCTGACTTTAATTAACAAATAACGGCTTGGATATCTAGATGAGAGTGGTTAGGATTTCCGAATTGCTTAACAACTTGACAGATCAGATATCAGCATTCGAGTGGAGAGACGATTAAAGGATTCTAACGTTCAACTTGTGAATCTCTGGTCTGGCCGCACTCCCCTCACAGCTAACTTATACTTGATAAATAAGTTACATCTCTCTTCCTCATCTATTGGGATAGAAAACTCAGTACACAATAAAATACTGATTTTTCTTAAAATTCAACTTACTAGTTGACGAAAAGTTCTTGTGCTCAATAAAGAATTGAACTCATCACTTCTACACAGCTGTTGCTGGTATAGTTTAGCGTTCATCTAAATTCTGTCAGTAAATCTCACGTATCACGTTCTCTGTTAATGTTATTTTGAACTGTTAGCAAGCTTGTTCAACTGGTAATCTTGTTAATCACCGTTCTGGTTATCGAGATAATCGAATGTCAAACAGTTATTATTCATCTTCGTCTCCTCCGAATATTGATTATACATCAACTCGGTTTATGAGGGTAATTGGACCACAAGCCAAAGGATCAGCTGAAATGGCAATTAAACCTATGAAAAATGTTACACAACAACAATCATTGGATTTTTCTGAAACGGAAGAAATGAACCGTACAAATTTTCTTACAAAATGTTGTCAACCTGTTTGTCCATCAGAATCGGAAATGGAGTATAAATCTTCAGATAAGTGGATGTGGAACAACATAAGTTGGATAAATAAAACAGTGCGTTCTGAAGTAATTACTGAACAACCAATTATAGTGAGAAATATATGTGTATACTGAGTGTTGTACTATAAAAGATGTTGTTATGACTGTTGTGAAGTTGATTTGCAAGAGTTATCTTTATACAGATTTTTTTAAAACAAAATTTTTCCTTCCTTCAGTATATCTTTCCTAATGATAAATTGAATTGTTCCCAGTGAACGTCATGCATTTTTTAAAATCAATACACAATCCCCTCACATTTAACTGTTATAAAATAATTAGCGTTCACATGGACACTAGTAGAAAATTATATGCATTCCAGCTAATTATGTTTAAATCTATCTACCCATATATCGATATTAATGGCGTCGGTAGCTGGTAATAAGCGCAGGAGTGCTTGTATGAATTTGTAAAAACAATTGATGCTACAACATTATGGTCTTTAACTGGAAGTATTACTTTGTGTTTATAACGATTGCACGATATTTGTACACGTAAAAGACTATACAAAGTAATACTTATGAAATATACTTTATTTTTTCAAGTTAGTAGACAATCTGTCTTCATACTGAAGAATTTATAAAAATTAAAGACTGAGTAGTCGCGTAATCACAATTAATTCTCATAAACTGCACCACATTATCGAGATTTAAATAGAAATATTTTTGAGTGAAAATTTTGTAGCCAAACATTATTCTCATTCGTCATTCATACCATAATGGCATGTCTTTCTGTTAAATAAAACCAATTGGAAATTTCACCGTTTCTGAAAAATAATGACCTGAATATTTGGGATTCTTGCATAGCCAATGATATCTTAGTTATCAGCACAGACCCTTGATACTGAACCTTTATTCTACTCTTCAAAAACAGTGACGGAAATGAATTGAAAACACGACATAGAGGTATATTTCGTTATCCTATTTATTGTTATATCTATTTAGCTAGCAAAATCTAAAGTTTTCAGGAAAGTTAAATAGTCACTTTAATTGAAAAGGACTGTTAATGGTGGGTAGGTTGGTTGGAATCGATTTCAAATAGTGAACAATAACTCTGTTAATTACATCTACTTAATTATAGCTCAGTAATTTTGTATGAAAAAGTCGAGGATTATCACGTTGAATGCAATAACATAAAGTTAGGCGCCAATATATGATTCGGTCAGTTAATTCATACCTTACATATCATTGATTCAAGCTAAATAACATTCTTCGTATCACTTCCTACTTAAAAGCCAAATATGTAGTCAGTGCAATAATGATTGAATAGAGGAAAGATTTGTGGTCGCATTTTCACATTGTATTGTCATAATCTATAGTGAATCATTTGAACTAGAGTACTGACGATATTGTCAACTACAATTATGATACCATTTCTACTCAAAAGTAATAGTTTAAAACTTTTACTATCCAAAATGCAAATTTACAATATTTTATCTCAAGTACCCTCCTTTTATAGCATCAATACGTAAAGCAGGTTGAATTTACGTGGCCTGCACAAGATGACTAGCAGTTTAGTTCGTCTATACTACTTCCAGAAAACCAGTGTTTAGTTTTTTTCTATCCATAATGCGAATTAGTGAATAGAAACACAGTCATCACACATTTTATTGGTAAATATATCACCTCGCTTAAAGCCAGCAAGTTTAACGCTCTTAGGATTTAGTGCCCTTTATGCATTCGAATAATTTTAACCTTCATTGTTTTAAAAATAACAGTGGCAAGATGTGAGCGTTTTTTTGTGACCTCAGTTATTGTTTGCTCAATTGATAGTTTTACTCGGCAATAGCATGTAGCTTCATAAAGGTAGTCTTCCAAAAACAGGTTTCATTATTCAAAACGTTAGTCAATATTAATCCACTTGTTGTTTAAGACTGCAATTGATCAGTCTCTTATTTGCATATGTGCATACTGTGCGTATTGCCTTAATTTACAAGCATTACAAGCAAAGATGGACAGTGGCTAGCAGTGGAATCCAGGACGCGTGTTCCGTCCTATTTGGGACTCGTCAGCTGGATGTGCCTGCGCCTCAGAGTTGATATTCACCCCAGGACTCGAACCCGGTACCGTTCGTTTCAAACACCATCGCCTTATGCACTTAGCTACTGAGTCCTGATAGCCATTTGTTCGTGCAATAGGGTGAAGTTTAAATTCACTTGGTGTTGCTTACTTGCAGGTTCATCCAGCTGATGAGTCCCCGATAGCACGGAACACGCGTCCTGGATTTCACTGCTAGCCACTATCCACCTTTGCTTATTAGTCAATATTTTTACTCAATCAACTGCTCGCTACGTACATGAATATACGCTGTCCAATCTTATCAAACAATGCAACTAACTGTCAACTGTTATGTGTTATAATCTAAACAGTTAGTAGAAGTGATAAGATTTCATTCATAAACATTTTTAATACTCCGAAGATATAACACTACGTAGTACAAATAGTAAAATATTCCACACAGATGCTTTTGTATATTTATACACTAGATTGTTGACAGAGTCAGTGTGTAAATAGTGTACTATAGGTTCCATGAATTCAACATATCTCATAGAAATCTATCTACTACTTAACCATCCAGTACTATTATGCATCAAAGTTAGGTTTAAAAAGTCTCAACTTCATTACAGTTATCTTGTCAGATTCTTTGTTATTACGAGGAAATTGCTCACGTTCTTTCCACGACTATCAGGTAAAAGAATAGCTTGACCTAAATGTTTATTAAACACATTTTTGCATGGGTGTTGGTACCATATCTGTCCTATCCTAGATATGATTTAAACTCTTCATATTGATCCTGACTGCATTGCTTTTGTTTGATATTTTCTGTTTATCTCTTTCTAATTCAGGAGGCATGTAAACCAACCAATCTTGACTATTACAATTTTTTAACATGGACCCATTTAAATAGAACCATCCCTAACAATCAAGAGTCTGAGCTTCTTCAAAACATCCACATGGATGCCATACCAACATTGCACCCATCACCTTGGTCTGTTAAGTCTGCTGGAGCAAGTTTACACACAAGTCCTGTTCGAAGATTCAAGGATAGTGTAGGGAGTAAATATGCGACTCCGCAGAACAGTCAACATGAATTCTTACCCATATTCAGCCGTAAATGCAAATTCAGATCTGTAAATACAATAAATTTGTACCAAGAATCGAAGCCATCAAAGGTCTCAGAAATTCTCAATGGATTTACAGGTGTCATGACGAAACAGTCCTTAAGTAATGTTCATCGAACAAAATATATCTCTATAAATTCTACTAATAAAACAAGTCATAAAAACTCTACTAATATCATAATGTCACTTCCAACTATGCATGGTGATGATCACTGCAACAATGACCAATTTGGAAATTTCGATCTGTATAAAGGTGAATATAGGATATAATTTTATTTCTGAATAAGATTATCTGATAGAAAAAAATATTTGAGATGATAATTCTGATTAGTTCGTTGAGATCTTAGTGTCTTTAATAATTTGGTTCTTAACTAATTAATTCATCATTTAAATAATCTAATTATATAAGATTAAGTGAAAATTATCTATAGAAAGCTGTGGATACAGTTATTATCTGGGGTTCGAACGCACAACGTTTAGTGTTTTGATCTAAAACACAGTAACAGAAGTATTCTAGTCGTGATTATTTTTGCGCAGTATCAAATTATAAACATCCATTGGTCTCGATAATTTTAAAGAATCTGTTAGTCGCATATTTTTTGTCCAAATTTATCAGAAGGGGGACTAAATTTACAGTTCGTGCAATATTTCTTTTTGATACCCACGATATTGAGATGCGTTCCTTGGTAGGAATCTGAAGCTGTTCCGTGTTCAGCATATCAGCCACACTTATTGAGTAAAAGCCAAATTGTAGTCTAAGCACTCGCTTTACAGTGACCTTCGAATTTGGTCAAGGCAACCTAATACCAATCTTCAAATAAGGAACAAATAGGAATATTGATTTCAATGTGCATTTACTAGGTGGATTTATTAAACACCGTGGTTGTTAGAAATACAAAGAGTGATCTTAGAGAAGGAACAGTGTACTTATCGTGTGTCTATTTCTGTAGTAATGTTCAAAGCTTTAAAAACTCCGGTAACCATAAGTAGCTTCTAAAGATGATGGATTTCTCAACCAAAATGTGAAATTTCCATTCGTTTAAACCCCAAACTGATAATTCTTCTGAATGAACGCTCGATCCGATGTCCTAGCCGCTTTTAATAACTCCAGGCTAAATCTATACACAACTTGAACGCAAGAAAAAAGGTGTTACTCCAAAATTAGTTCATGTACAGAAAAACGAGGGCTTTTCTAGGATTACAAAAGACCATAAACTTCTGGAACCATGCTAAATTTGGTAGAAGTATAGGTAAATATCCAATCAAAAACGTGACTTCACTTTCTAAATATTTCTGAGAAGCTTTAACGCTGATTGGATAAATTGTCTCTCAGCGTTCTCTGGTCCCCTATGGACTTTCCCGATGAGTACTTTGGAACTCTTCAATACAAATTGTCATAACTACACAGATAAACCATAGCCCAGCAATAAATACGCCCAGGACTGTAAATGTATAAGTTACTAGTCGTACTTATTGTAATAATGAATACATGTATGTGATATTTACTTATTAGATTGTACATATTCGTACGTTAAAAAGATACTGAGATTCACATTACATTTTTTTTACTTGTAGGTCATTTATATGAAAATCCCCTCACAATATCTGATCGAAACGACAGTTCATTTGGACAAGCATGGTCTTGGTTCAAAGAAAGAAGACGAGTTACTTCAGTTAGCTTGATTGCTAGTCCAACATTTATCACACTCCCTTGTCAAAATATCCTTGTTGGTAATGCAGTTGATAACTCTAGTCCCGAAATTCCACTTTTTTAAAAGTCACTTTCATCTTATTCGAACCACCTAAGCGATCATAACAAACCAGCCAAGCTACAATGGCTGAAAAAATTGTTCGCTACAGTCTTATCATGTCAAGAAGTCTAGTTAGACATGGACACATAAGAAAATCAGTACACATTAATGTTAAAAAACATAAGATCATATTGTTATTCACACTGAAGTATAACGAGAGTATGGTATTCCTCACGAATAACGAACATTCTTAGCACCTATTTCTTGAGCTTTTCGGAATAAATTAGCAAGGATTAGCTCCTAGACCAACCTCCTTCTCCCTTCGTTTTTTGTAACAGCTGCTAGTTTCTTAATATACTTGACTGACTATGAAAGAAAAACAATACATCCTTGAAAAACTATGAGTGGTCGTAAAGTAAGATTTCGCACTTTGCAGATCAGAAGCTGATGGTAAACTAATATTTTTTCTACAAGTGTTTAGAAGTCCCCATACCTTATGAGCATATTCGGCAATAAGTCATTGTTGTGTTTGTTTTCAGGTAGATGAAATACTAGAAGGTCGAAGGTAAGAGTTAATGACAATATTAAGTTTGAGAGGGAGTTAAATAAAGTTGTGAAGTGAAGGACTTAAAGAAAACATACTGTCGACCCAGACGACAACTTTTTATAAGTTCTTACACAACTGGGTAAGTTAGATTGGGGTATTCAGTAACAAGTGAACTAATTTACTCACCAATTTACAACACTTAGTATTTTGCAACCGAGTTCTTAGCTTTTTGAAAGGGAATGAATAGTTTGTACTCACTCCGTCTGTTGTCAGTGGGAAAACATAAAAAGGGAATGTCCTGATTCTTGCTGGATTTTCACTACTGTTTAGCCGGACAACGGAAAAACGACTACCGAGTGGGATGTCATTCGAGGATCCCCAACCTGCTTTCAAACCTAATGGTATACCCACACTTCCCAAACTACAGGTTTTTAACGAATCCAGATCCACAGAAGTTGTATCGTGCTGGCTTTGTGACTATTCTGTATGGGGGTTTCTGATGCAGCATACATCGCCACAGGACTTGTAGTCTTAGCTACTAAACCCTGCTATCCGATTTGAGTTGACGACATTAAAGGCTCTGGTATGTAGTTTGAAGCGTCGTTCAAATACATTAGTAATAACATTCTGTGGGCTCGAATTGCTAGTAATGGTGGCTTTTGACACCAAAGACAAAGAGATGGCTGTTAACGAAAAAGGAAATAATAGGATGCAAAAGGATTCGGTTATAAACAGGATTAGTTTGAATGTTGTTACAGATGTGCAGGATACTGACAGTTTTTGGTTGCTTACATTGTGAAAAGATATTTGATTTCGGGAGACCTGGGAACTGAAGTAGGTTAAAAGTGAAGACCTTGTCACTCCAGGATTGTCAACCCGAGAATAGTCATATGAAGTCTTTGAGAGCAGCTCCTTATTCGTTTGTTATGTATTTTTCAAGCCTTGCAGTCATCACTGGAAGTCCGTCCCAGATGTGCTGCTTTCAGCGTCAGTCCTTTTTAACTGCTCCTATTGTGAGGGGGGGGGCGGTGTCACTAACGATTGTGGTTGTCTTTGGGGAATACCCTAATTTTGCTACCCTGTAGTAAAATCGTCCTTGAGTCTTGCATTTACTGTCTTTTCATTCGGAAACTGGTCTGTTGAGGATAATAGGACTTCAGGAAACAAGTGTTATTAACAACATAACTTGAGTGGGTCGTCAATGTAAGTACAACCACCACACCAAGATGTCAGGTAATGTCGGTGTGACAAACAAAATGCTGCTTAAAAGCTAGTGAGATTTGTTGTAAAAGCGACCTGTTAGTTGCCTTAGGCACTTACTTTTTCGTTCTTCATATTTCAATAGTCGTTTTTCTAGAAAGAAATTTAATTTCCATGTTTATGAACTTCTATGAATATTTCTTGCCTATTTTAAATATAGAACTGCTTGAAGTCAGAAGAGAACCTATCCTAAACTTTACCAATCAGTAAGTTCCATAAAGCTATCGGTTTATGTGAGAAGTTACTTATTTGCTGAATGGTTTTATTCTAATATTATCCACCGGTCAGAAAACTTCACACGTTCAAATCCAGTGCAAACGTCAGAGCCATTTAATTTCGCCGAATTCCAAACGCTACGCATATTATTTTATCCAAACTATTTACTCCTAATTTAGTCAGTTTTGCTGTTTTAAAACGTTACTCGTCTTTCTAATGTTGAGTCACGTGTTTTTTATGCATATTTATTACAATTTAATATGATTTATGAAGCTGTTCTTGATACGTTAGTTGGTGTAGGCTGTAAGTAAAACCACCAGTTTATCCAGAATTATCCAACTTGAATGTTAAAAGCATAACTTTTAATGGTTAATGTCCAAAAGTAAAGTACCTAAAAATGAAAACTCTGCTAGAGCAGCTATCCGATTTGGACACAGTTGATTATGTCGACTTACCATATGAAACATTGTATTTGTCAATCCTAACTCATGTTACTTATCAGGGGAGTAAATACAATATTTCAACCACTTGAGGTTCTGTCCACGTTTGTAAGCCACTCCAACATTATGGATAGCTCTTCTTCGAGGCTGTTCCGATAAATAATAGTGAAAGGAAATGATTTCCAAACTGATAAAAATCGAGTATCAACATGCATCTATCTTTATGATGTTTACGTTTTGGATGTGGTAAAATGATCCAACAAATTTGTTCTCACTAAACAAATAATAAAGAATAAAATATTGCTCTCAAAAAAGTTTTATTAGGCGTGGAAATGACTGTACACAAGTATTACTTCTTCTGAGTTTCTTCTCCTTCGACTGTTTTTATTAAAGTATCGACCTGACTTTGATTGATAAGACGAACGTAGGTCTTTTCGTTACGTCTTTGTAGTACTCCGACTTCAACCTTAAGTGAAAAAAAAGTGTCACGTTCCCGGATAGAGGAAATAAGAATCTTTACTGAAAAAGGGCTTACCTTTTCCGAAGTCAGTTTAGACATTGTCATTGTTTTATACAGGACTTTTACACATAATTTTGTGGCTTCTTCGACTGTTGCATCTGCATTGTAATCCTGTTCCAAAATGGAACCGGCTGCAGTTGAGTTCGACCCAATACACGTAGCATTCCATCCCAGAAAATTCCCCGATGGATCCGTCTGGTATAGTTGGTAACCATAACGCTTATCCCATCCGATGAACAACATGGAAACACCAAAGGGTCTTCTACCACCATACATAGTATAACCGTGTTGAAGATCGCATATGTGGCACACAAGTTGTTCTACCGGCATAGGCTCTTGATAAGACAAGAGATATCTACAATGAAGATACGAGAAGTTAAGGATATTTTTGCCAAACAGTAGCTACCGCGAGTAACTTTAACCTGGGATTATATTATCTACAGTTGCTTTGAATGGATTGTAAAAGGAGTGCGAGTAGTATATTCAGTAATCACTGTCATTTCATTTTAATTGTGTAAGGGCTATGATACTGCCCGGGTGCCCAGACCGAAGCACATGGTTCTCTTAGGGGGCCACACCCCGAGCCTTTGACCTGAAGGTCTAGCCCACAAGGCAGTGGAGCATCCTAGGGAGATGCAGTCCCATGGTGGCCGGTGACCAACGATTGATCCATACGCCATTTCTTTCCTCAGGGTACTGGAGCCGATGTGCACCATTGGTTTGGAATCAGGGTTTTCCAACTCCCCTAGGTGAACTTTCCATGTCCACCAACCCGGTTAAAGCGCCGAAAATTCGCTTTTCGTCCTCTCAATTTCGTAAACAACAGTAATGCCACGAGAAGGCAGTGAGTAGGACTTCCCTAGCAGAGGCTATGTATTCGCGTGACCATGTGAGAGCATCTCGAGAGGGAGTGCGGACTCCCTACTTTCGGCAGTACCAGGGCGTTTGGGGGCTTATATATCTGGCGCCCCCTTATACCAGTATTTATGTGTTCAAATAAATAAATTTGAATGGGAGAATTTTGTCTCCATCTAGTATTTGGGATAAACGAAATTCTTTAAGTATACTGTTCAGTGTGTATTAATAATATACGTAATTAGCTCACTACTATTCAAGATAAACAATAATGGATTTAACTACCGAAACCAAGAAGGTAATACTGGAATAATAAGAGCCAGCTTTAGCTTCCAATGTTCTGCCTGCGTAGATAAAAATAATCAGTCCACTTCTATAGGACAGGTGCACCAACTTGTGCTATATGAAGAAAGTATTCGGTGACAAATCATGAAAGAGATTCCATTACTTAACAGTACAGCGGTAGACGATTCAACAGTAACAGACGTGCAGTAACTTCAGTATTGAGCCTGTGGATTATTACACTAGGCTTTAGGGATTTGAAGTATGTTCAGTTGGTCTTTCGTGATATAGTGGAAGATGGGGCTAGTGCGGGGAGCTTTGCTCAGTCTTTGCTATTAATTTAGTTAGGACTCTAATGCAACCGAACCCATACTTATTTACCGTGTAGCTTTATGTGAATATACGTATAATTAAATGTTATGAAAACTGTAGCTTGAGGGTAGCTGAGATTAAAAGTTGGAAACTTCAAATGTGGTAGTCTCCGCTATTTTCTTTCTACTCGTACACATCAGTCCGGGTAAAAATCCGTTTTTACTAGATATACGTTATTCTGAGATTTTGCATACTTATGCGCAACGGGAACGATTCGTATTGGTAATGAGAATAGTGCATTGACCGTGTACTCGATTTCAAAAATGAAGTTGCCGAACCCTAGTAGGTCACAACAAACAAACTGTAGTGTACATGATAGTGGAAAGCGTATGTATGAGTCACGTAAATTGACTTGAAATGACAAAGTGAATGCTAAATTTCACCGTGTATACTTAAGCTAACCTTGAAAATTGGTTAAGACACACTTAAGTGGGCTCGAACCTACCTCATGAGTTTACCTGTTACGCCTTTTAATTACGACTAGATATCTTCCACATAAGGAAATACAAGATTTTATTTTAACTACTAGGGCAGGTGGTGTGTTAAATCGTTTATTTTATCCACATAAACAGCACTAGAACACGATAACTAAAATTTCTTACAAAAGGATATCAGGTATTTTCTCGAAAATATAGTTGACAACGAAAAAAGTGAAAAACGATCAAATTTAGGATTTATTGGGTCTATCGACCCTCAAAAGTCAATTAAGTAGGTGATGGCATAAAAAGCATAGCTGACAGAACAACTACATTCAGTACTGTGAATGATTCGCTAACAATATCAGCACCTCTTATTTATTTAAACACATACATATTGGTACAAAAGAGCACCAGATACATATTCGCCACACGTAATAATGAGAATGGGAGGAGAAAGGGGGAAGATGCGTATACATAAGGAAGAAACAAGGATTAAAAAAGAGAATAATGATGGGGGAACTGAAATGTACAATCAGAAGGACTCTCTCACTTAAGAAAGTTATAGTCACTCTTTATGAAGAAAGTGAAAGAAGGTTACAGCAGGCACGCCACTGGATTCTATTCTGAGCCATATCTGACAACGTTTCTAGCCACAGTGTTACACCATCTCTCGGACCCCAACCAGGGAGTCGTGAAGGACCAACAAAAGCTAGCCCTTTGCAGCTCTCTTTCATGCCACGACACCATGTCATGCACTGACCACCTCTCCGCCTTTCCCAACCAGTCCCAGGGTCGGCAAATAATGCACGACGTGGAAGTCTCTGGGACGACATTCGTAAAACATGTCCAAGCCACCGAAGTCGGTGTTTCAAGATGGTGACACCAATTGAATTATCGTCTCTGTGCCCGAACACACGATGCCGAACATCTGCATTACTAACATGGTGTTGCCACTGGATGTCAGCAATCCTTCGGAGACAACGATGATCGAACACAGAGAGACGTCTAACATCCTCAACTCGGAGAGGCCAGGTTTCACAAGCATAGAGCAAAACTGCTCTCACTGACGCGTTGTAAATCCGACGTTTTACAGTCAGACTAACATCACGAAGGCGCCAAAGGTGGCCCAGATTGGCATAAGCCGCTCTGGCTTTCATTATACGTGCATCAATCTCATCACTCACGCCACCACCAGCACTGATGTAGCTACCTAGATACACGAACTTCTCAACTACGTCAACCTGCTCACCATCCAGGGTGAGTACAGGATGAGAATCCTGCCAGTCTTGTAGGAGTACTTTGCACTTGGAGGGTGCAAAGCACATGCCGTACCTGCGGACACTGATTGCCAACTGATTAAGTGCGGATTGCATGGCTTGGGCATTATCACGCAATAAGACAATATCATCCGCATACTCGAGGTCGAGAAGTCGTTCTCCAGGCAACATATCTACACCGCCATTACTTACATCCATCAGAGTTGTTTCCAGGATGTCGTCGATGGCAAAGTTGAAGAGGAATGGTGAGATCGGGCAACCCTGCCTAACCCCACTGCTCGAATGGAACAAGGGAGAAAGGTGGTTGTATGCCCTCACTCTGCCTGAGGTGTTCGTATACAGGGCCTTTAAGAGGTTAATGAACTTCTCAGGCACACCCTTCTTCAATAGACCATCCCAGAGAACAGTCCTGTCCAACGAATCGAAGGCCGCCCTGATATCAAGAAACACTACGATTGTTGGCCTGTGATAAGTATGACGGTGTTCTAACATTTGGCGGAGGGTGAAGATGTGATCAATGCATCCTCGACCAGAACGAAAACCAGCCTGCTCCTCGCGAGTCAATCGTTCTCGGGTTTTAAACAACCTACGAAGAATGATAGAAGCCAATAGTTTGGACGCAATCGAAAGTAGACTTATCCCCGGGTAGTTATTGCAGGAACAACGTGAACCCTTTTTAAAGATAGGGACGACTATTGACTCATTCCATGATGTTGGAACACTTTCTTGCTCCCAAACCTTTACAAACAACGCACTCAGTTCCTTAGCCAGAAAGTCACCACCATCTTTAAAAAGAGCCGGAGGTAAGTCATCTGGGCCAGGTGATTTATAACGTTTCAAGAGTTGGAGTTCCTTGCGGACTTCCGCCTCGTTTGGTGGATCAGACGTCACCGGCCATGGGGGGCAGGAAAAGCTGGTTGATGTTGCCGGAGCAGCAGGCCAGTTGAACTGCCCTTCGAAAAATTCCGCCCATCGTCCAAGACGTCGACAGATGTTAGTGATTGGCATCCCGTCATCCTCGTAGATTGTTTCACTCACACCAGACTTCTTGCTGTCAGTGGCTCGGATGAGTTGAAAGAGCTTCCGGCAGTTACCAGATGCAGCTGCTGCTTCCATCTCATTAACACGCTCCGACCACCAGGCTTCCCGGTCCTTACGCAAGCTTTGCCCGATTTCATTACTTAACAGCCTTCGTTTGTGGTCAAACTCACGGTCACCCGGAGTAGACCGACGAGCTTCAATCAGTTGTAAGGAGCCAGAAGAAACCCAGTGCTTGTAAGCGGGACGTTTCGCGAAGCCGCAAGCGGCTTCACTCGCCATTTTCATGGCGTCGTGAAGATGCAACCAATGCTCGTCTATACTTTTCGGTGAGGTGGTAGCTAGCCTAGAGGCTAGCTCCGCTCGATACTTACTTGCAACAGAAGTTGAAGCCAGTTTACTAATATCAATCCGTTGGTGGTGGTCAATCCTTCGGCCACTGAAAAGTAAGGTGAGATTGGCGCAGACCAGGGCATGATCAGACTCCAGATAGGTACTCCAAAAGGAGCGGCAGTCTTGTACACAATCACGCCAGCGGTAGCTGATCGCGATGTGATCAATCTGAGTCCAGGCTTGGGATGCAGAGGGAGGACGCCAGGTGGCACACCGGCGATGACTGTGCCGGAAGTTAGTGCTGGCCAGAAACAGGTTGTGGTCTGTGCACAGTTGCAGCAAACGGTCCCCGTTATCTGTCCGGCGACCAACAAGTCCCCATCGGCCACCTAGACGACTCTCTTCTGTGCCTAGACGCCCGACCTGTGCATTCAAGTCTCCGGCTAGTACTACAATATCTGTCGAATGCGCTTTCTGGAGAAGAACTGTTAACTGATGGTAAAACTCATCCTTGATTGCATCCGGGCTGCAATCTGTCGGGGCATAGGCGGAGATGACGAAAAGACACCGTTTCTCACGCCGATTTCTTCTCACTTTGATGGAACTTTCTAATCTAACAGCACATAACCGACTGTTAATGGGGAACCAATCGATTAGTGCTGCCTCAGCTCTAGCGCTTAGTGCGACACCAACGCCAGCAAGACCAGACGAAGATGCCACAGGGTCCCCGGATAAGCGCACGTGGAACAAGCTCTTCGAGGCGACAGATGGAGAGCGGATTTGTAGTACTTCACTAGAGTCTTGAATACGGGTCTCGGATAGACAACAAACATCAACATTAAAACCTTCCAAAGACATAGCCAGCCCTATCTGTTGTCTGATATGCATTAGTGTGCGAACGTTGAAGGAAGCCAGCTTGAACGGCGTACGTGGTTTCAGAAAGACTGCTTCAGTATTCATTATCGGTGGAAGCATTCACTTTCAACCAGACAGTGACTGGAGATCGTTTAGATAGGACAGATTTTCCACCATGGGCGAGCTGCTGCATAAGTTGAAAAGTAAGGTTACACAAATTGGGGATAAAAGGGGGTGAGTTAGCGATATGGTAAATAATAATAATAATAATAATAATAATAATAATAATAATAATAATAATAATAAAGGTAATAATATCATAGGTGTCTTCAAACCATTGCTCGTATATCCTGGGACCACAGTGTGAGTAATGCAGATGTTAGGAAACGGGTACTAGGTAAGGATGGCAAATCGATTGATGAAGTAGTGAAACTTGATCAGTTGAGATGGCTGGGACATGTGTTACGTATGCCCAACCACCGACTGCCCCGACGTGCAATGCTTTATGGTGTAGGAGCAGGTTGGAAGAAAGCTATGGGCGGCCAGACCAAAACATGGCATAAATCCATGAAGTCGCTGACAAGTGGACTGGGCCGTGTTGGTAGGTGTAGGCTACCTGGTTGGGATTCGCGAGATGATAGCAACCGATGGTTAGAGACCTTGAATGACATGGCTCAAAATCGTTTGCAGTGGCGAAGGTGCATACACTCTTTGTGTTCTACCAAATTCTAATCCTCTGAATTCTTCATGTCCCTATCTTTTTTCTCTTTTCAAATTTATTTTACTCTATTATACTCATTTAATAACATCTTCAAACCCTAATCTTTCACATAATGCTTATACTCTTACTACTTCTTACACTATGGAATTTGAATCGACAGCTGCATCTCTGTGCTAACGTGGTATGGAAATTCGAACTGACGTACGTACGTACGAAGTTTTACGTTGTAACTGACTGACTGACTGACTCACTCCACCACCAGCACTTATGTAGCTACCTAGATACACGAACTTCTCAACTACGTCAACCTGCTCACCATCCAGGGTGGGTACAGGATGAGAATCCTGCCAGTCTTGTAGGAGTACTTTGCACTTGGAGGGTGCAAAGCACATGCCGTACCTGCGGACACTGATTGCCAACTGATTAAGTGCGGATTGCATGGCTTGGGCATTATCACGCAATAAGACAATATCATCCGCATACTCAAGGTCGAGAAGTCGTTCTTCAGGCAACATATCTACACCGCCATTACTTACATCCATCAGAGCTGTTTTCAGAATGTCATCGATGACAAAGTTGAAGAGGAATGGTGAGATCGGGCAACCCTGCCTAACCCCACTGCTTGGATGGAACAAGGGAGAAAGGTGGTTGTATGACCTCATAAATGAAATGGTGACTTGTACTGACAATCCTGTTCATGCACTTACTACATGCCAGACAATTCAGCACCTCTAGAACTTCCAAGTCATAGTATAGTTTGCATTTTAGTGCGAACGTCTAATTTATTTACTACGCTGATCCTAGGCCTTTAGAATTGTGCTACACATACTTAGGAGCTGTTGCGGAGTTATTTTTCTATAGTTTTCTTGGTATCGGAAGCAACACCTTTCATGGTCACTAGGAGGCAGAACATGTGTGCATATAGTAACCAAATAACGTTGGACAGTAATTCATCAAACATTTTATCGGATAGGCAACATGTTTGTAAATATTCAGCACACACAACTCATACACGAACAGCAATACAACCACACTTCACTATACGGCACTCGTATTCAAAGTAATATATATATATCATGAGGCGAGTTGTTATACAGCATAGAAAGATGTATATAGCTTCAGGAGGCCTGTGATAATGACAGAAGAGCACTAGAATACATTGACGGCAAATATCTTACTTTACTACTTAGCTACTGGATGATAAAAAAATGAAAGCAGGATCAAATTAAGCGCTATATAACCTACGTACTTTACCGAAACATGGCAATACAAAAAAGACGCTCAAACTTCAGGCTTATAAAAGCCTTCATTGAAGAATTAACACACATAAATATACGTAAGACTTCATACCTTTGAGCAATAAGTCGCATTTCATTTATGAGAACTGTAGCATCAGCCGTTATACCAGCAACGGCGCAGGCTATGTCGTCATTGATTTTATAAATTTTCTCAGAAAAGACCGTTTCGTCCAGAAGGTTATTTATGAAGCGCTTTTCAGCGGCCAGGACAATCCCATCTTTTGCTACGACCCCTAAGCAAGTGCCAGCATGTCCAACAGCTTCCATTGCATACTCCACTTGGTACAAACGACCTTAAGCAGAACTTTTATTAACATTTAATGTGAAAACTCACCTTCAGGAGAGAAAATTGTTGTCCTTGTGTCATACCTACGAGCCTTGAAACATTAGGAATAAGATTAGAAAATACAACGAACCATCACTCAGGATATATTTTGTAATAAGCGGAGATTACTAAGTGTACTTAAACAAGATAATAATCATCGAAGACACAAATGGATGATAAACCAGGTAAAGTACCACGCTATTGTCGTCAGGGATTAATAACCGTGCAGTATTGTATTTAGGTTCGAAACGTATAAAAATGTATGGACGAATGGACGCGAATGTGGTTACCACTCCAAAGAACGTTGGCGATTGGGTACGGGTCGTAAGAAAAAAACGCCAAAATGACGTAAAAGGAAGTCATACCCCCACCAAAAGGGTCGACAAGCCGAGGTCTGATCACAGCGACAGATCAGTCATTCTCCATAGAGTCAAGGAGAGTGACAACTTAGAACCGAAAGCTCGTTTTGAGCATGACATTGTGTTGATAAAACAACTACTCAACCAAGTTATGCCCAAAAACATCCCCGGAGTCACCTTGCTAAAGGTGTATAGATTAGGAAATCTAGCGCATCTAAAACCAAATCAGTCTAGACTACTCAAAGTCGTTTTCAAATCCTCAAACGAACGCGACTTAATCTTAGAAAATGGACACAAATTAAAGGGTTCAGGAGTTTTTCTCCGTAAGGACTTACCGTTGGCGGACCGTGTTAAAAGACGAGAAGCCGAAAAGGAACTACAGCTCAGATTAGACGCTGGCGAAAAAGACCTGAAAATTGTAAATTTTCGGGTTGTGAGGCTTCGACAGAGGATGATGCCGAAGCCACTCTGGGTGAAGCACGAGGCCACCTAAATAGGCTTCGGATCTGTTATACCAACGCCCGGAGCTTACTAAATAAGCTACCGGAACTAGGTGTACAGATTGACTCAATTAGGCCAGACATAATCGCAGTCACAGAAACATGGCTGACGCCGTCTATAGATAGTAGGGAACTTGATTTCGAGGGTTTTACATTGGTAAGGGCCGATAGAATACAAACGCGTAAAGGAGGGGGAGTAGCTCTATTCATTAGGAATGCTATTCCATTCACCATTATCGACAGTGTATCCCATGAGAGTGGGACGTATGAATTAGTTTGCTGCCGCCTGAAATGCAGGGGACAAGAGTTACTACTTAGTTTGATCTATCGCAGTCCAAGCTGTGAGGCAAACGAGGTCCTGCTAAGCAGTCTCAACACTTTATCACGAAGTGATCGATGTCTAATCTTAGGGGACTTCAATGCACCCATGGTGGACTGGGGAAATCTTCGGACTGAATCGTCAGCAAACTCCTTCGAACAGGAACTAGTTGATGCGATAATCACTTGTGCTCTAGTGCAACACGTGAAGGAAGCAACTAGGTACGACCCGGGTTCTGCATCATCCTTACTAGATCTTATATTGACTCATTATGAGGATGATGTTGCAAACCTGAATTACATGCCACCCCTAGGCAAAAGTGATCATGCAGTTTTAAGCTTTGACTTCCATATAACTGTCGATCATGAGTACGCTTCAGCTCAATCCAGACCTAACGTCTGGAAAGCAAACATAGCAGACATCATGAAATCAGCATCATTAGTAGATTGGAAATTAGATCCAGAGTCATCAATCGAAACGGCTTGGGACGTATTCCGGAATTTATACTTAAAAGTTACTACCCCCCACATCTCTTGGACTACACCTAAGAGACCGAGAAACTCATCACCGTGGTTCAGTAGGGAGGTTCGCATCCTTCTCCGTAAAAGAAGGAAAATGTGGGACAGATTTAGGTTACTGGGGACTGACGAGGCGAAATCTCAGTATCAAAAGGCTCGAAATACCTGTGCCTCGACCCTCCGTAAGGCCAGAAAGCTGTACGAAGAGAAAATCGTAAGGGAATCCATAGAATGCCCTAAACGCTTGTATTCGTATATAAACCAAAGGACAAAAAGGAGAAGAAATGTTCCCTCATTATGGGGAGACAGTACTGCCACATCACTAGTGGAGGATGACTTTGGCAAAGCTCAAGTATTCTCTAAATACTTTAGCGATGTATACACCATAGAAACACCCTTCTCACCAGTCCATGAAAATCCACCCACACAAGCACTGGACAGCGTAACCATTGAAGAACTCGATGTTTTTGGTCTGCTAGTTAAGCTTGACATAGGTAAATCCACTGGACCCGATGAACTGCATCCTAGGTTACTAAAGGAATTAGCTAACTTTGTTGCGAACCCTTTAAGTGTATGTTTTAATCTATCCGTAACCCAGGGTCGTCTACCAAAAGACTGGAAGAACGCCATAGTAAGTCCAGTCTTCAAAACAGGTACAAAACATAAGCCTGAGAATTACCGACCAATTAGCCTAACTAGTGTGGTTGTTAAAATCTTAGAAAAGATTATTCGGAAGGAACTGTTAAAGTATCTCGATGAAAACCGGATCCTCTCCGAAAAGCAGCATGGTTTTAGAACAGGTTACTCTTGTCTCACAAACTTATTAGTCGCTCGTGAAAGCTGGTGCGCTCTTAAGGACCACAAATTACCTATAGACGTAGCTTACATCGATTTCAGCAAAGCCTTTGACAAAGTTCCGCATAACCGGCTGTTATATAAGCTAAGGAATGTCGGGATTGGAGGAAATCTATTGATGTGGATAAAAGACTTCCTAGTTGGGCGTCAACAAAGAGTAAGGGTGAACTCCAAGTTGTCTAGCTGGGAAACTGTGCTTAGTGGATCCCCCAGAAAACAGTTTTGGGGCCAGTGTTATTCCTCCTGTACGTAAATGATCTCCCTCGTCTACTATCGTCATCGGTCTTACTCTATGCTGATGATGTCAAGATATGGAGAGCGATACAAAGCAAGAGCGATAGCTTAGAACTTCAAAATGACCTGGAGAGATTATCTGAATGGTCCCAAACCTGGCAATTGCCGATAAACACTTCCAAGTGTATTGTGATGCATATTGGCCATCAGGGTACAGATACATACACGATGAATAACACTGAGTTACCTATTGTTCAGGCACACAATGACTTAGGCGTCATCGTTAGTCAAGACTTAAAGACTACTGCACACTGCCGTGCAATAGCCGCCAAAGGTTTTAGGACTTTATGGTCCATACGCAGGGCTTTTAGGCACCTTGACGCTAAAACGTTTCTGACTTTGTATACAGTGTTCGTACGCCCTAAACTTGAGTACTGTATACAAGCAGCTAACCCCTGCCTAAAAAAAGACAGTGAACTCTTGGAAAGAGTTCAGAGAACAGCAACTAGGCTGATTCCCGGAATAGCGAAGCTCCCGTATGGTACTAGACTGACCAAGCTAAACCTATTCCCGCTGTCATATAGAAGAATCAGAGGTGACTTGATTATAGTTTTCAAATTGCTAAATGACAAATTTGCACCTGATATGCCCTCATTTTTCTTGTCTTCCAAAACAGAAAATCTACGAGGACACTCCAAAAAAGTTCACAAGCCCAGAACGAATTACTTGTCAGCTGACTACCGACTTTCCCATCGAATAATCAACGAGTGGAATTCATTACCTCAGCACGTGGTTGAGGCTCCATCCGTCGACTCCTTCAAAAGAAAGTTGGATCAGCTGAGAGACCATCATTGCCAGGACTAACACAGGCCACCAAGCCTCCTGTCCTTTCCAAACTGAAACTGAAACTGAAACTGAATGGCAAGTCATTATTACGCCAACCATTTTTTTGATCCCGGAGGTATAAACTCGCCGTTCTTTTTTTCTCAACCTTCTCTTTCCAAAAAAATTTAATGTCTCTCTATGAAAGTCTAGGAGTTGAGGTTAACTTCTTCGACTGTATAACGATCGTCAGTGACCTTAGAACAGTTACCGACCTTTCCTGGTCATGTGAAAATGCCTTACACCTGGATTCAAATACCACAGTAACGGTAAATAACTGCATGAATTCTTGGCATCGATGCTACTATCTTTAGATTTAACGCAGACCACTAGATGAATGTGCTAAGCCTAAAAACACCATCGGATAGCGAAATGATTCGCGATTGAAAGTCTCTTATTCCCTTGATAGTCAGATTCAAAGTTTCGTGTCACTCCATCTACACCTACAATCAAACATACTTTATTCTAGCCTTTATCACTCCTTTGTTCTTCTCTGTGAAAAGTCATTGAAAATAACTAGAAAATCAGTATGTGACCATTATGTAACGTCCGTAGTTTCCTCATGAGAATCTTGTAGTGACGAATTTTTACGACGGGGACGCGTTCGTTATAATGGAAAAATTTATTATTATAACCAATTTTTCAAATGATTGTTTTACTGTACCTGTTTTGTTCAACTGTATCAAAATCACATTTTTGTTCTGTCGTTCATCCTGTTAGTGCGAACTCGCTTAAGCTCCGCCATTTTGCCTGTCCTCTTTGGTACATCTCCGTATTCTTCCGATATCACGAGATCGCCAATAAATATATCTTATCTGGACCAATAGCAGTCTTCTGGTTTTCGGCCTATCGAGGGATCCAAGTCGTTATCTGGTGCGTAATCTTGTTGTAGTGTTGATCATAGTCAATCGCAACTCGACGCCAACTACAATCTTCCAGCTATTTGTTCAGACCAGTAAAGTTAACATGCATTAGTACCTAGGCTAGCTCATAAGTGCTGAATGCCTATTGAGCGGTAAATAATTAGAGGTCTGACAGTTTTTAACTATTGAAACGAACTCAGTCAAAATTAGTGTTGCTTTCACGTGTGAGTAAGTAGCGGGATTAAACTGGTTCCCATCTAATTGATGCTCTAGGCTAAACGCATATAGATTTGGAATGATTACTCCAGAATTTGCATATTAGATGCAAAACACTAAGCGTATGCAAACGCTAACGTTGGGATGCTATGGAGAATGTATGGCCCAGCCATGCGGGAATAATATTCTTGTGTATATCTTTCCTCCTTATGTCAAATATATGATCTCGTCTGCAAAAATGTACATATTTTGCAAATGTCCTGACAAGATAGTATTCCTGACTGCCAATGATAGGGTGACTTGTGGTGGACAGTAGTTTGACTTAGACTTCAGTTCATTCAGATTGCATTCACGTCGTGACCAGTGAACTGTACTGTACTAACTATGTAATTCTACTAGCGTCGATAAGTTCATTGATTCCGAACACCACACTTTTTCAAATGAGTAATATCCGATAGTTTCTTCGATTCTGGAACATCCATTTACCTCTATTAATTCGTCAGAAACTCCATC